CCCTAGCGGCCGCACTCCCGGGGTGGGGGTGCGCTCGGGGTCGGCCTGGAGTTGGGGTGAGGGGAACTCGGGGTGTCAGTGGGAGGAAGGTGAAGTGGGTGGGGGGCCTTTCTCCCTCGACTAGAGGACCTCGTGCGCGTGGAGAGAGCGTCTGGACCGCACTTCCGTAACTTCTCCACACGGGAATCAGCCGAAACTTTCCTCCTAAGGGAAGGTTTTATTTATTTATTTATCTTCGAACTCGAACTACAGGAGAAAGGGGGAAATTTTCTCATTAAAGTTACATCCCTGCAGTTAGTTCAATTACTTGATATATGCAGAAGATGTTGTAAATTTATAGATTTAAATAGCTTACAAAGATGCCGCAGGCCCCATCAGTTAATTTCCTTAATTTATGGATTTTGAGCTGCTCCTGTAACAGAAAGAGGCCCTGGAAGTAGGTCAGGGATCTGTGCAGGGGTTGGGAGGGGCTCCCGCGAGGCCCAAGGGCTGCCCACTCTGCTCCCCACGCCCCGGTACCCCCGGGCTTCCAGCTCCCAGCTTCGGCTCAGCAGCGCTCTCTCTGCGCGCTCGGCACCCTGGCCAGGCCCAGCCCGAGAGGTCGGCCCAGCTCTGTGGCCGACTGTCCCAAGCACGACATAGGAACAGCAAAGCCCTCCATCAACGCACATCCCACTCAGCATTGAGGGACCAGACCCAAATAGAAAATGAAGCAAGTATTCAAATACTTTGATCTCCTGAGATCACCCTTAAATGCTGGCTAGAATCACCGTCGGAGGAGGTTGTGTGTGTGGGTACCCCCAGCTTCATGGACAGAAAAGTCCTTCCCAGCACCAGGCCTTTGAGGAGGATGGAATGAGGGAAAATGGAGCAGACTTCTGTTGGATGATCAGGGACTCACTGAAAATCCGCTTGTCAAGGCCCCTGTGGCCCCCAGCGCCCCTCACACCTCTTTTGTCCCTCATCCTAGGTGGCTTGCGGGAACGCCTTTGTTTTGTGTTCAATATGGGTGAATATATACATATAAATTAATACTTGAAAGATGGGTATAAGCAAAACTGTTTTAGGAAGCCACATGGCAATGTGATTAGTATTGGTATTCATGATTTAGCATTTCTTTTCCCACTAGATGAAGTTTCTAAGATTTGCAAGGTACATGTCAAGGACGGGTGTATAAATGGATTTTTATTTATTCACAACTCCAAGACTAATTGCTTCTCTTTGCCTCAAGGCCATGAGATTGGTTTTAATATGACACTTCAAAAGTATTCGTGGAACTACAGAGATACTAAGTGTCATTGTTTAAGAGACAAATCTCACCATGGTACTGATGACCCTGAAAATAGGATATTCTACTTTATTTTAAATTCCTACTTTTTTTTTTAAGTTTCACTTTATACCAATTATAATAAAAATGTACAATTTAGTGGAAACAAGAACTGACCATTTTGGACGACTTTTATTTCCTTAATATGACTGGGGACTTTGCTTCTGTATTCCTGAATCCTTTTATTTAAGAGCTGAACTTTATACGTGTCATTAAGAACAGTAAGTTTGGGTCATAATTTATTCTCAAGTGTTTTAAAAGTTCCTAGCTAAATGTCAGCCATCTCTTCCACTGGGAGACTTGGATATGGACAGTGACAGGTATTTAATGATCTGTGGTATATAATGCAATGGTGATGCATTT